GGAGCAGAAAGCCTCATCTTTCTCCCACGGAGCAGCTGGTAGTTTCGAACTGCTGACCTTGTGGTTCACAGCCCAATTCATAACCACTATGCTACCAGAGCTCCTTTCTGACTATGGTTAGCAGTTTGTTATTATTGTTATTGAGTGCCGTCAAGTTGGGTCCGACCTGTAGCGACCCTGTATAGATTTCTGAGGAGCAGCTGGTTAGCAGTCTAGAGACCCTAAAAAGCATGCCCCCTTAAATGACTTGCTCTCGAAACATAGACTCTCATTTGTCAGTCACCTTCTAGGAATGCCAATGACCACCTCATATATGATTAGAAATGTTGATAAAACAGCAGTTTTGTTTCTATTCTCAAAGTTATAAAACTTTTGAAAACAACATATGAGTCACCTGGTCTCGAATCTGTTTGGTCTTGATTCCATATATGATGGGATTTAGCATTGGTGGAGCCAGAAAACAGACATTGGCTAGCAGGACATGAATATGGGGTAAGTTGTGGCTTCCAAACCTTTCAGTGAGGACGGAGAAGATACCTGGCCCGTAAAAGAGGATGATGACACAGACATGGGAGCCACATGTGTTGAGAGCTTTGTGGAGAGCATCTTTGGAAGGGATGTGGAAGACAGCACGAAGAATAAGCATATATGAAATAAAAATTAACATAATATCTAAGACCACTGTTGACATTAGGACGAAAAAACCATACCAGATGTTCACATGGATGTCATCGCAGGAATATCTTGCCAAGCCAATGTGCTCACAACCAGTGTGTGGAAGAATGTTATTTCTGCAAAAAGTCAGTCTCTTCAAAAGAAATATTACAGGGAAAATTGTGCCATAACTTCTTAGAAAGATAGTAACACCAATTTTCCCAATCAGGCTGTTTGTTAGTATAGTCGTGTATCTCAGTGGGTAGCATATGGCAATGTAGCGATCAAATGCCATCACTAGCAAGATCCCTGACTCAGAAATGAAGGTGGAATGGATGAAGAAGAGTTGAGTGATGCAGCGACCCAGGGATATCTCCCCAGCACCAAACCAAAAGATGGACAATGTCTGAGGTACTGTACAGGTAGCAAGGACAATATCTGTTCCAGACAGCATACAGAGGAAAAGGTACATAGGTCCATGGAGGCTGTGCCTGGTCAGGATGATGAAGATAAGTAAGCTGTTCCCAAACAGGGCGATGACATAAGAAATGAAGAAGGGGATGGAAATCCACATGTGCTGGTCCTCTAGGCCAGGGATGCCCAGCAAGTAAAAGACTTTGTGGCTAACCCAAGTGTGGTTCAAGGTGGCCATACCTGGAGCAGATGACATGGGACCTCACTTCCTATTTACAGAAATAGAGGCAATTTCAGATTACATTAAAGCATTTTTTATTTTTATTATACCAATTGTAGCTTTTAACACCTACTCAATTCTCTTTCATAGTCAAGGTGCTAGGGAGTATGTAAGATGAAAATATGAATGTAATATCTGTTCTTTCAATGAGGTTAAAAGTCTTAAAGCAAGATGGGCATTTGCACAATTTACTTAAATACTATATTTTAATAAACATATCAATGGTATTCCTGGATCTCCCCCAAGAATATGAATCCACCCCAAAAAACAAAACAACAAAATAACAAGTATAATAGATACCCAATGAAATTTTGTAATTCAGTTTGTTTGGCTATAGGATGCCTTTGGATCAATGGAATTTGGTGGGAAATTTAGAGAAACATTTTCTGCATTGCTCTGATAGTAGTAGGAAAGCAGATTCGAAGGGAGAAAGAATCTGGAAGGAATGTATTACTATTATGTTTTTACAATAAAACAAAACTAACAAGGCAACTTTAAAAAGTACCTATTTTATGTCAGGCACTGTTTAAAATAATTATGGCACCTCATTAATTACCTGTATCAACTAAGAACTGTAGGTATCAATTTTTCTGAATAGGAAGTTGAGGTTCCAAAAACTTAGCACAATTACTATCAAATAGAGCTTGGATTTGAAGCTTTTCTCATAGGTGATTTTTGGGTTTGTAAAATACGCCCAGCAACAAGAGACTTAACTAAACAGAATAAACTTAACAAGGCCTTGTGAATAAGCATAAGAGGTAGGGTAGAGGAAGAGCTGAGCAGGTAGCTATTCTCGCTCCCTTTTTACACTGGAGTGCTGCGCAGATTCAATACCACAAAGGTTTTGGAATTATTCATAGTTGAAATTCTCTTTTTGTGTCTCTTCAGCCACAAGCTGTAAATTCTGGTAAAACCATAAAAGAATTGTTCACGCCTGCATCCTAAAAGCTGAGAAGTAAAGAAAAGACTCTGCCTTCCATAGTGCTAAAGAAGAAAAGTGTCACCAGTGTCAATAATGTTAAAGGACAAGTGGACCTAAAGCAAATATTTTGTTAAGAAAATTAAGTCCTACTTGCTCAGGTTCTAGATAATTTAGCAGAAAGCCTGGTACCTAAGTAATTGTTGTTGTTAAGTGCTATCGAGTTGATTCTGACCCATAATGACCCTGTGTAGGGTTTCTAAGGAGCAGCTAGTGAGCTTGAACCATCGACGTTGCAGCTCAAACAACTTTGCACTCTTGACGCATTAGTCCACAGTGATACACCAGGACTCCACCTAAGTAATTAAAGGGTTCATATTCCGCTAGAAATTCTGTAGACCAAACTCTAGCCCAGTGTTTCTCAGATGGGGGAAAATTTAACCTTTGAGGGTCATCTAGAGACATTTGGTTGTCACAGCCTGGAAGTGGTTGCTACTGTTATCCAGTGGGTAGAGGTCAAGGATAGTACTGGACATCCTACAACGCCCAGGACAGTCACCTTATTAACACTGTCCAAAATGCCATTAGTGCTGAAGTTGAGAATTTCTCCTCTAGGCTCTTCTCTCTCCCAAATTCCCTCTCCCTAATCTTCCTTGCAAGTAGTGACTTTGTGGTTCACAGTGCAGTGCTTATCCTACAAAGCCACCATGCTCCCCTTTAGGCATCTATAGTGTCTCTCTGGTGTGGTGCTGTAGAATCAGCCCTGGACTGCAATCCACAAGGTAAACATTTCAAATCCACCAGTTGCTCCTCAGAAATCCTGTTCAGGTTCGCTATGAGTCAGAACTGACTTGATGGCACTTTACAAGTATCCCTGTAAGGAGTACTGGTGGTACTGTAGGATACACCTTGAACTGCTAACCACAAGGGTGACAGTTCAAACTCACCAGCTGCTCTGCAGGAGGCTTTCTGCTCCTATAAAGATTTACAGCTTCAGAAACCTATATAAGATTGCACTGAGTTGGAACCAACTCGATGGCTATTAGTTGAGTATCTTTCAAAGTAATGCATGAAACTACAATAAAGACATGCTAGGAAACCAGGAAAGGCTTGAGCTAGGATTTTTTTTTTTTAGGTTGAGGACTTGTTGCTTATGTCTTATGATTAATATTGACTGTCTTTAATTCAGTCTATGGCCACCAAACATTGTAACATGGTATGCCTTGAGAAAAGCCATTCACCTTTAAAACGTAGAAGAAATTAAAACAGATCTGAAAATGACATAGAGGGCTGATGTACTTATGGATGCCTAACTCTATAAACCACATTCTGGATGAAAAAAACAAAAACAAATAGCAAAATAAGGATGAAGTAAAATAATTTTAAGTAAAAGAAAAGCTGGGAGAGGACTAGCTTGTAGATGAAAGTGGGTGCTGATTGTTTTAGGGTAACAAAAGTAATATTCTTTGGGAGGCAGAGAGGAGAGGCTAGGAAGGTTGTAGAATAGGGGTTGACCAATAGAAGTTACCCCAGTAGTATCATTGTTTGTCTAATTCAAGGCAATACTAGAAAACTAACAAATAAAACCAAAACCAAAACTTCTCAGCGTCTCATGAATGTTTTCCTTATGAAAAATGATGAGATAAAGTTACCTTTGACATTTTAAAGAAGTCACCTCCATCTATCTGCTTTGTGCTGCTGAGGGAACTGGTTGTATTTAGGGCATGCTAACCACCTGCCCAATATGTTAGGTATGCATCTGTGAGACACATCTCCCAAGGTCATTCCTTTCCTCTGCTTTAATCAGGAGTCTTAAGTATTAACATTCCTAATTTATTTATTGTAAAAATCAATGAGTTTTGAAACTTGTTTTTCATCTTTGCACATGCAGAGCCTAGCAAATACAAATATTAGATGGAAGCAAAGAAGCAGCAGCATATTAGAGTAGTCAGGACCGGGGACTAAGCTAAATGTTCTCTAAGGGGCTCAGAGCTCCTTGGCACAGTTGGAATCCTTCATCATACTCTCCTGCCTAACACTACTTTCCACTCCACTAGAACCACCCATGCAGTCCTGATGTGGTGGTGTAGGATAAGCATTGGACTGGTAATTGCAAGTTTGTTGTTTGTTAAATGTTGTGGACTTCATTCCTACTCATAGCGACCATATATAGGGTTTCCGAGGAGCACCTGGTGAGCTTGAACCACCGACCTTGTAGTTCAAACTGACTTTGCAGTCCAATGCATTAGCTTCCTGTGCTACACCAGGACTCCACCAATTGCATAGCGCTGCTATGAATCAGAACCAATGACATGACACATGACAACAACAACAGGACCACACTTATTTGTCACTCTGGTCTCTCCTATTCTGCCTACATAACTCCAGACAAAGGTCCTTAAATGAACCTCTAGTTTGCATGGACTGCTTTTCTTCTTTCTCCCCTGAAAGTTTATCCCACATGAATAAACAACTCACTCTACTGCTTCAAATGTCTTCAAGATCTAGAATGTGATGAGTCATAGGAGGAGTCCTTCATGCTGGGTGCCAGGGAGCAGAGATTTTTATTCATTTGCCCGCATTTCTCCAGGGTAAATTATTACCCCAGTGAGTACACACTTAGAATTTTTTTTTTTTCAACAACACCTCCTCCATCTCATATACATGGATTAGGTCATTATGGTTCTTCAAGCAATCTACACCAACCTCTACTCCACAACTTATTCCCTAGGTTAGGAATGTACATGTTTTATTTTATTAAATAAGGTTCTAGTGAAACTACATAAAACATTCCTATGTGAATGGGAATTAGAAATTGATATCCAATTTTCAATTAGCACCAGTAAATTGACTATTCACTATACAGATTATCTTTGAACACACATTGTTGTTGTGTTATGAGTCGGTACCCACTCATAGCAACCCTATGCACAACATAATGAAATACTGCCTGATCCTGGGCCAACCTCACAATTGTTGCTACACTTGAGCCCATTGTTGCTGTCACTGTGCCAGTCCATCTCGTTGGGGGTCTTCCTCTTTTTCTCTGACCCTCCACCTTACCAAACATGATATCCTTCTCCAGTGACTGTTCCCTCCTGACAATATGTCCTAAGTATGAGAGATGAAGTTTGGCCATCTTGGCCTCTAAGGAGCACTCTGGCTGCACTTCTTCCAATACAGATCTGTTGGTTCTTTTGGCAGCCCATGGCACTTTCAGTAGTCTCCTCCAACACTGTAACTCAAATGTATCAATTCTTCTACGGTCTTCCTTATTCACTGTCCAGCTTTCACATGCATATGAGGTTGTTGAAAATACCATGGCTTGGGTCAGGCACACCTTAGTTCTCAAGCTGACGTCTTTGCTCTTTAACACTTTGTTTTTGTAATTTAGATAATATTTAAGAGTAAATTTGTTCCTTATTTCTCATACAATTTTATGTTCTGAAATCTGGAATTATAAGTTTTGATTACGTATGGGGGACAATTTTCATATCCTCATATATGTATTTATAATGTTTACATGACTCATGTTTATTATGAAGTACTATACCCCACCATCCTTTCCTGTAATAGCCAGTAAATGTACAATTAATGCTTAATTATGCTGGTAACATCTCCCTCCTTTTAAATAATCTTTATCTTTTCTATTTATTAAATTATCCAAATACATCATGTGCACATATTTGAAAAGGTTTGTGACTGCACATGATAATAAAGTGATAGATTTTGACTTAAAGTGGTAGATTTAATTTATTCATAACAACTCTATGTCCACTTAATTAGTAGAGATACTTGATAATATACAATTTTTCAGACTTCCTATAAGATGACGGACTAGGCCGATGCACAACACAAACCCTCTGCAACGAAGGTATGAGAGACCAAATGAGACCTAAAGGTTAGAGAAATGGACTGAGTGGTTACTGGGAGGAGAGGCTGAGCAGGGACACCAAGAGAGGGAGTCATACTGGTGAACCGACAGCCCTAGGCCTTGTGAGCAGCTTTGGCAACAGAAGGTGTCCTGGCAGAGCAGATT